CCCTAAGCCTTTAGCCCTAAACCCCCAACCCCCAAACCGTAAACCCAAGATAATGCTTTCCGGTTTTTTTTCCATTATCCCTATATAACCCATATATAACCCCTATATAACCCCTATATAACCCCTATATAATCCCTATAAAATCCTTGTATACCCCTATATAGCCCCAATAAACCCCGAATATCAACCCCCCCCGCTCCCTGAGCAGCCAAGAAGCCTGGAGCCCAAGTGGCTGCACGCGAGCCGCTGCGGCGCTTGCCTCTGAAAAAAGGCTTCAGGGCTTGGGGTTTGGGGTTTGGGGTTGAGGGTTTAGGGTCTAGGGTTTGGGGTCTGGGGTTTGGGGTTGAGGGTTTAGGGTTTAGGGTTTAGGGCTTAGGGTTTAGGGTTTGGAGTTTACCTGGGTTTGGGGTTCAGGGTTTGGGGTTTAGGGTTTTGGGGCCGAGGGTTTAGGAGTACAGGGCTTGGGGTTCAGGGTTTACTCAAGGTTTAGGGGGACCTGACAAATAGGCTAAGAATGGGGACAACTGGAGACATTACGTGGCAACTGGGGGATATAAGCATGCTCACTAAGTTCCCCCGACCATCCATATAGGGTTGAGGGCTCGGGGTTTAGGTTGGAGGTTTAAGGTTCATGTTGGGCGGCTCAGGTCCCGTTGAACGAATTTGGACTGTTTTCGTGCATAATTGGACTTAGGTTTCGGAGCTTTGGCGTTTAGGCCCGTTGCATGTATAAATATATATATATATACCATATAAATATATGTGTATGTGTGTAGATACAGGGTTTGGGGCGTGGGGGCTTAGGGCCCTTGAAGGGGGGTTATGGGTCCCTTGAAGGGGGTTCTGTTCCAATATCCTGGTTAGGTCCGGGGGTTCGGGATATGCAGTGCGCAATTACGGGATGCGTGGTCTAGTGCTTTCAGAGCGAACGATCCTGCGAGCTGACTGAAGAGGGGTGGGGCTTACCGTCGAGGAGCTTGTGGCTTTGGAGGGTAAGGGCGTGGGTTTCGGGTGGAGGAAGTGTAAGGTTTAGCGGATCAGCCGGTTTTAGGGGGTAGGGTTCAGGGTTTTGGGTCTAAATGTTCTGGGTTAGGGGGGAAGGGTTTGAGGTATTGGGGTTCTGGTGAAGGAGTTTAGATCACTGTCTACAGGGTTGCAGCTTTAAAGGTGCAAGGTCTACAGCTTAATGTCAAGGGTTTAGGGTTTAGGGTTCGGGCCAAAAGGCGGCCCTTGGAAGGGGACTGTCAACCTAGGGGTTCGTAGGGTGTCTGTCCCTTCGTATGACACAGGTGCACTGCCACACTATGCTAGACGGGCAAAACATTTGCCCCACGTGGGGTGCCTTAAACATTAGGAGCCATATTATACTGGGGACCCAAACATGTTTGTTTTGACAACGCTCCATATCATCTTCCTCGGTCTCCCTTTGCCAAACTCCGCGTTCACGACAAGCTGGTCGATTGGGGGACCATATGAATTAGATCTATGGCTTTATAGAGGTTGTAGAAGAACAAGTATGCGGTCTAAGGGAAGAACTACACCTTCTCCAAAAGGTTGTCTATTGCTTCTTAGAGATTATCCTTCTCTAAGCTCTGGGGCCCCGTACATATTCCTCAAGCCCCCACCCCACCCCACACAACTGTCCATAGTTCGCGGAGACCTCCTGTGTCCCTTACCCTAAACTCTTGACCCTAAACCC